TTGTATTAGAAATTCTTTTAAAATAAGGTCTATCAGTATTTCAAAGTTTATAGACTGAATGCTTTGTTATCACTATTTCATAGCTTCCCCATTTGTTTACAGTTACTCTAAGCTGATGCATTTTACTGTCATAATTCACATTTAGAAGTAATGCTTTGTCACTAAACCTTTATTCTAGGAATTGGTTTCTTATCCATAAGTCAATCAGTTGTAGAATGTAGAATTTAGTGGTGTAACCCTTTTGGTTACCCATTGGTTTAGCTTCTTAACTGTTTTTTACACACACCCCCAATGAAAAAAGCTTGAGTCTAAATTTAATTCTGTGTTTATTTTATATTGTATTCTAATACCTAGTCACCCCTCCATAACCCTTCTAAATTGGATCCTGGATCCCCCATGATTCTATAAGTACTCAAGTCCCTTAGAGAGTTTAGTGTGGTGTTTGCATAGAACCTTCATGTACCCTCCCAAATGCTTAAAATTACCTCTAAAGTACTTGGTAATAGCTAGTACAATGTAAATGCTAGGTAAGTTGTTTGCTCTGTATTGTTTAGAGATTAATGGCAAAGAAAAAAGTCTGCCAGTACAGATGTGAGCCTGTAGATTGGTTATAGAAGCTGACTGTATTTGCCAAGCAAAATAATGTGTTATGAAGTAAAGTAGTAGTCCGCTTCCTCTGTAAAGAGTGTTCATAGTGTTATATAGGACCATACCTTAGAAATCATGTGACTTTTCAAAAATAATCTTTTCTCCACACAGAATGAAGATGTTCGACCTCACATCAGAGACAGATTTCGCTTGCATGATTTGCTGCCCCCAGATTAAGTTCAGAGACTTGTCAGATCACTGAGGGGGGAGAGAGAATGCAGGACCCTTTGGACTAAGACAAAAACATTGCCATTACTGTTGAAATTTTGCATTTTTGTACCCCGTCTTGCTTTTCTTATCTTTGGTGCCCAATAATAATCAAGGGTTACAGAAAGAGACTATCTCAGATTGAACACATACAGCGGGTAGGCTAGAACAGAGGCGTCTGTAGAACTAGTACAACTCCAGTGAAACTTTTTCTGTACAGGACATCTGCAGTTGATCAAGAATTCTGTGTCTGCCACCAGCAGTTTGCCCTGTATACACAGGATTTTATGATAACAACAGAGGTGAAAGTGGACTCTCACTTCTCTCTGTTCGGTGCTCTCAGTGGGTTTGTAGCCACTCTTCTGTTACTTTACTATTCTCATTTCAACAGGAATGGCCAGTAAAAAGTTGTTTTATTTTTCCTGTTAAGGTTTATAACCTTTTTACATTTCTGACCTGTATTAGATTAGAATCTCATAATGCATTCCTTTTAGTTGAGGCGCTTCATAGTTTTCTGGAAATAGTCAATTTTTAGTTTTGTTTTTTTTTTTTAAATATACATTTGAATGGCCGTTTTCCTGCTTTGTCTGCCTGCATATTGTATATTTGTTTAAAAATATTCTCTACTTTTAGTCCATGTAAGTTTCATTTAAAAAAAAAACATGCATTTATATTTTGTTCTGTAATATTCTACTGTAGGTGAAATCTTCAAAAATCAAGAGACTGGGTAGGTAAGAATATATGAATGACTAATATTCAAACGATTTGAACCATTGTGATGACATGTATTCCAGATGGTAAGATCTTGCAATGGCACACATTCAATGGATAAAGGTATACCTCAGACTTCACTGTGCTCACTAACCTTTGAGGAGAACGAGTTCAGTCTCCTGTTGGGCTTGATTCAGTTACTGCTGCCTTTGGTTTTCTCCAGGAATGAAGTATTCAGCACAGTGACTCAGTATTTACTTGGCATGGGCTGGTTAGTACCTCTGTTATGCTCTCGGTTACAATCAGTTTAAAACTCTGTGTAACAGTCTTGGTACCTAACAGTAGCTATGCATAATCCTGTGGCACAGTACACTCCCGGCCACCAGTGCAGTTAATATGCTCATAGTGGTTTTCTATGCTATATGAAAATAGTCGTCACGCCTTGGTTCTCTAATGCAGCTACCACAAGAGGTTGATATTTTTATAGTGGCGTGTAATCTCCTTTTCAGGGGGCTTTTTATGGAAGGTAGAATTTGTAAGAGTTAGTATGCTTTGCCTCTCAACTGCATTAACATGCCGCAGGCTCAGACTGTTTTTGTGTAAAGGATGTCAAAGAACGGCACTTTTTCTAAAGAGAAGTTTGATATTTTGTATGCTTGTTAAGAAAGTACAGTATTGGAAATTAAAGGTGGACAACTGATAATTGAGGAGTATGTCAGTTAATTTTTTATGTATATTACCTGTTTACTTGTACAACTTACTGTACAAATTACATGCAGCTTCATTTTCAAATGAATCCTTAAAATAAGGAAATCTTTTTAGGAAAACATTTAATTTTTGTATTTTTGATTTTAAAGGCATGAGTTGTCAGTTTTCAGTGTATTAATGAAGATTTTAACTTTTCATCAGGTTGAGTGTTTTCTTACTATATTATCTGTTGTGTATGTAGTTAGCATATGTGTCACTGAACTGTTTAAAAACCTAGCATGTAGAGCAAGCCTGTTTTGTGGAAAATCCTTATTCATTAAAAAAAAAAAAAATAATCATGGCAGATTTTCTGCAAAAAAAAAAAGCAAAAGCATTTGCAATTCAGAATACTGATTTTTTTTTTAATTTTACAAAGGGTATTTTGCTTGCAAGAACAATACTACAGATTCATTTTAATGAGAATCTTTGAAGTGTATTTATCTTTAGGGCACCTGGGCATCTTTATGCTGTTTGTCTTATGTCTTTCTTGAAATAAAATGTACATACGTTACCTTTACATATGCTCTTGCTCAAAATTGTGAACCTAGTTAATTTCTTCCTGATCCCATCATTTTTATGCTAGTATAGCAAACCCCAAACTTATACAAGATCTAAATTTTTGACATGCATAATTGTTGAAAGTTTTCCTGATTAAATGAATACAGTCTCAAAGCCCTTCCCACATCTTTAAGGGGAAATGTAAACACTTATATCATTGTGCCTGTTGGCACTTAAATGATAATAAAGCAGGCGCATTCAAAGAGAGCTCCTTTAAGTCAGCTGAGTAAGAATGACAAAATATGTTGTGGGAAAGTTTATATGACCTGAGAGTTGAGACCAAATTAATTATTATTTTTTCCATTGCTTTATTTGGGTAATTCTAAAGTTGTTGACACAAAGTGTAAATTACAAATAAACAATTTAGCCAGTTACTTCCCATCTCAGTAGATTATCTTCCAGTCATATCTTATCTTTGTTGGTAGCTGTAGAACTCTTCCATTTAGGTAGTGGGAGGTGTATAATTTTTGAATTGAGACGTGCCCAGCTGTCAATGCACACAGTAAACATGACTGTAGTAAGTGCAGGGGCCATGGATCCATGAGGCACAGCAAGCTACCTGTGTACACATTACAACTCTTAGGACCTATTAAAATTGTGCTATTTCCGGTTATGAATGTTTGACTTTTAAGACATTCTTTTAAATATTTGTATCATTGTTAGAGGATGTTTTAATTGGTTGTATTTTTTAATCCCATGTAATATATGTAGTCCTGACCAGATTTACTACCATTTTTCTCTGGGTCCTAAAAGAGAATTGATAACAATTCGTAACCAGAAATTGTTTTATATTTGCTAGTATGTATATTTATTTATCCAATGGCTTTATTTGTTTCCCAAAATTGTATTGGGACTTGTTGAAAGCATTGTGTGACTTCTATAAATGGCTATTTTCTTGTAACTGTCAGTAATATGGATGTGTACATTGTTTTATATATATACATATATATATATATATTTCTGGGGATAATTTTTTTTTTAGGGTTGACAGTGTTTTTTTTGTTGTTGTTGTTTTGTTTTTTAAGTTACCTTTTGCCAATGACTTTTTCTGCTAGCTTTTACTTTCATTCAGCCTTCTAACGGAGTTCATTCTTATTGTGTTGTCAACTTGCCTGTAAGAGAGACTTCATCTCATCAGTGAAGAAGGCGTTTCATTATTCCTACAAGTCTTACAGCAAGCACAGATTCTTCATAAGGATCAGATCTCTTCCGCGTTTGTGTCAGTCACATAAAGGACACGGAAGCCTTCCTTTCCTTGTACTGATCTGATGGTGTTATACACTACATCACTAGCTAGTTAAGGTTTTGTGACCTGACTTCTTCGTCTTCCTAGGTATTTATTTGTTACCTCTTTAAATCTTGTATGTCTAAATTAACTTAGAATAGTTACCCACCGAATAACTATGCCAAGAACTAGGAAAGAATGTTTATTTTATTTCCCCTTATAGGGGAAGAGTGGACTGGGAACAAAAATGTAAGGCCAAGAGGCCTTAGGTTGTCATTCATTCAATTTCTTATTCCTCTCTGGGCTGTATTTGATTTTTTTTTTCAGTGCTAAATGTATTTGAATATAGCATTGCTTTTCATGTCTTCCCTTGAGTTGAAAACCTGCTAGGAATTTGTATAAAATACCTTAAAAAGTTTTCAGTTAGAACCACAAAACTCAGTACCTTATATTTGATGCTACTTAAATTATTGAAATCCAAATCACACTACTAGGATACATTTTCATAAAATGTTTCTCTGTTATCTTGAACTGAAATTCGATTGTAAATCAGTTTAGTCCACAAACATGTTTTGAGATCCTTTTAAAAAGGATTTAAGAGAACAAATTTATTCTAGTTTATGGTTTACTACTATTATTTTAAGATACATAGTGATTCCCAAAGCTGCCTGTTGATCAGAATTACTCTGAGGAACTTGTAAACTACAGACTCTTAAAGCCTACCCCCTGGGAAGCTTTCTCAAGGAACATGGTTGGGAGTTGTGTGTTTTTAAAGTTCTCCCAGTGATTCAAATAGACAACTTTGGTATATTCCTGTTCTAAATAGTTCTGTTTGAGAATAGGTTACAAAAGTTCACCAGGCTTTTTCTCTGTGGTGTAGGGTTTTTTGGTTTTTGTTTTTGTTTTTCTTTCTTTCTTTTTTTTTTTTTTTAAAGCTGGGACCATATTTCACAGAACTTATTCAAGATATGAGGAGGAATAATGAAGATTGAGGCTACTGCTCATTATCATTTTTGTCATTCATACTTTTTAAAGAATTTGTGTTTATAGAACTCTGAATAGCTGATCATTTACATAGCTGAAGGACATGTCCCTGAATGAGACCATTATATATATTAACTAAAATATTTCACTATTTTTTTATTTTATAAATCTTTGTAGAAATGAGCAATGAAATGCTACTTTCATCTTTTGAAATGGGATTTTTCAAGGTAGTGTCCTTTTGGTATTAAGGTAGAGAGGAGTTAATATTCTCTCTACTTATTTCCACATGAATCAATATGAAGTCGTGGACATTTAAAAATCTCAATTTAATTTCTACTTATTTACTATGCAGTATAGCCGTGAACAAGTAATGTAGATTTAGTTTTCTCATCTTCAAATGCCCTGATCACCCTACCTCACAGGGTTGTTGTGGGGATAAATAAAACTTTTATGGAAGTACTTTTCTTTGATGACATTTTATCAGCCATCAGAAACAATGGAATTTTGAGCATTCTTCCTTTTTCTTTTGTAAGTAGTCAGTGTTTTCTCATTCTTTTTGATTCTGACCTTAGGACATGCTGTAAGATCAGAGTGGGTTGTAGATGAGGTCAAACCAATACAGAGACAAGGTGAAGACAGAGCTGGGAACCAAGAGCAAACTCAAACAGCACTGCAGTGTGCTGGCATTCTTGGATGACCATGGTTGTACATATATACAAAACTTCCTTGTACAGCAATGTAGTCTACAAAATACTGTTATAAAAAGGAATACAGAACCTGGGCCTAAAGGCATCCAGCTTTAAAATGAGAAGGAAACTGCAGCTTCCAAATTAATTCTTCATTATGCAGATAAAGGTCACAGCTGGGAGTAGAGTGCAGGTCTCTTAATTACCATTACACCATCATAGTCTTAGCAGTTTCTGTGAGCCACAATGAAAGAAAACATCTGAAATCAATCCATATAAAGAAGGGGTTAGCTTTGGGCAGTGAGCTTGATGAGGACTCTTACAGACATACAAGCTGACTGGAGTCTTGATCTGAATTCAGTTTCCTAGTCTCAGTTTTTGTCAAACCTTTGAGCAATCTAAAGATGAACACATTATAAAGTACAAAGCAGTCAACAGCAGGAATGGGGATTTCAAGGGAGATGGTCTTCGGAGGGGTGGTGTTTGAAATGGTAACTGGTATCATACCACATATATACCAGGAAGGGGAGGCCAGTCAGGGCTATTGGGTAAGACCCTGTCTTCAAAATAGAGATGGGAGAATTGTACACAAAGTCTTAGGAAGTTGGAGGCAGAAGGTACAGTAGGGTAAATATACCACCAGAGAACTCAAGAATTCTTAAAGACGTGAGCAGTGATTGCAGTAACCGAAGAACACTGGGTAAGTCAATGAAAAGCGTACCCATGGTTGTTGAGAACTTGTTTGTTATGAGTATGTTTAGTTGGGAAGTGGCTGGGGACACAGCATGGGGTAGGTACCTAGCATACATGAGACCCTGGGTTTAAACAGCAGTGCAAAGTACTAACTAGTTAACAAGTGTGAACAGAGTAGATGATAAAGAGATAATAAAGGACTTGCCATGCCAGAATCCCTCTTAAAAGATAAAGTGAGCCTCAGAGCTTTTAGTAACGACCATATAAACGGATATTTTACAATATTTGTTGAATGTACTACCCTTCCTAAAGACAGATTACTTTTAAAATATTATCGGGAAAGCTGGGGATATAGTACATACCTTGCATGTACAAGCCCTGGGTTTGGTCTCTGACTTGGAATGAAGTTCTCTACTTAACTGTTTAGTCAACTGATAACTGCCGTAAGTTTAGTGCCTAGCACTGGAGATCATTGGTTACTGCTGGAAAAAGAGTCAAGAACTGCAGAAGGCAGGCCATAAACAGTGTTCAAATGACAGGAGGGGTTCAAGCAAAGGAGTAGCAAGAGTCTCTGTTAGGGAGTAAGAAGACCAGCTAGGAGTTCTGTGACTCCACACAAAGCTTGGCTTGATTACATATGCTTGATTACATATCTGGGGGTGGGGGGTGGGGGAGTGGAAGCAGGAGGTTCAGGCCCAGAGCTTCACAGCCCTTGCTACAGGAGACCTTTCAAAGCAATGTATAAGTTAAGGGTGTTCCCTTTCTTCAACTACTGAAGGTACTCATTGGCTGCTAGTGTCATAGACAGACTAGTCAGATTTGGGCAGGGCATGGCTTACTGTCTGGATTTAGGGTACTCCTTGAAGAAATTACTCTGGGTAGACAGAAATGAGAAGTTAGTTTAGAGCTCTCTAGAATCCCCAAAAGTGTGAGGGTTTGAGGCAGATGCTTGGTCCCCTGCACTTTATTTTTGGTACTGGAGATTGATTGTGATTTGGGGTCAAAGTGTTAAAAGTCAATTAGCTGTTTCTGTATCAAATCAGAAATAAAATATTTTTTTTTCAAATGACTCAATTTTGGAATTTTGTTAAGAGACAGTCTGTTACTCAGGTCAACTCTAAACTGGTGATCCTCCTGCCTCAGCTTCCAAATAGCTGGAACTCACCCAGCAAACAAGAATCACAACTTTAGTACTTCACTTTAAAAAGCAGCCAAGAAAGCCTGGATTCACTTCAGATGTTATTCATTTTTCAATAGCTTTAATAACAAGACTCCTTGAGTTGGGAGTGTTGGACATGCTTGCAATCCTAGCACTGGGGGACTGTGGTAAAATGCTTATCCCATGTTCAAGGACAGATTGGGCTAAATAGATATAGCAAGACTTTGTCTAAAAACAAGGGGTGGGGGAGCCCAAGGGAAGAAAACATTCCTTTGTACTGTGTTGGATATCAAATCCAGCATGCTTAGCAAGTAGTGTTCTACCACTGAGTTACAACCCCAGTCTGAAAGCACAATTTATTTTTAGCTGGGCATGGTGCACTTGGGAGGCAGAGGCAAGTAAATCTCTGAGTTGGAGGCCAGCCTGGTCTACAAAGCAAGTTCCAGCTAGGGCTACACAGAGAAACCCTGTCTCCAAAAACCAAATTTTTTCTATTTTTGTAAATCTGTTAGACTAGGAATACAGCCAGTCCTCTATACCTGTCAGTTGAATATTCACTTTTTCAAACAACTGTTGATTGAAAATATTTGAAAAAATAATATCCTATACCAAGGCTGTAGACGTATCTTTAACTCTTAAATGATATAGTATAATCATGGCGTTTTCATCCTCTTGGGTATTACAAATAATACAGAGGTGATTTACAGAGTATGGGGGATGGTGTAGTTTTATGCAATTCTAAGCCATTTTATATAAAGGATTTGAGGATCCATAGAGCCAAACCAATATTTTACAGAGAAAGAGAGATGACTACTATTATTACTTATGATTTTAGAGTTACCCTAGAACAGTGGATACAGTCTCAAGTTGTGGTGACCCCAACCATAAATTTATTTTGTTGCTACTTCATAACCGTAATTTTGCTACTGTTATGAATCATAATGTAAATATCTGATGCAAAATATCTGATATGTGACCCTAAAGGAGTCACAACCCACAGGTTGAAAAACAGTCCTAGAGAGTACAATGAACAGGTTAGTCTTTAAGGACTAAATAAAGGGCACAGCAGTCTTAGATACTTGTTTTCCTGTTTGAAAAAGAAACGTACTGTGGTGATAATTTGTGCTCTAACAAATAAAGCTTGCCACTAGTTAACCATAGAGGCCAGGCATTGGTGGCACACACCTTTAATCCCAGCACTTGGGAGGTGGAAAAAGGAAGTGGTATGGCTGGGTGGAGAGAGGAAGTGATAACACTCTGCCCCATTTCAGGCTGAGGAGTTGGCAAGGTAAGAGGTGGCTATGGCTTGCTCCTTTGTCTCTGATCTTTCAGCATTTACCCTGATATCTGGCCCCAGGTTTTTATTATTAGGAACAATTAGGATATGAACTACAATGTTCAGTTCTACAGAATTGAATGCACATAGTGAATATATTTTCCATAGTACCTTGGGATGATTAATACTGTCAACTGAATCCAGAATTGCCCTGTGCCTGTGAGGGATTAGACAGATTAGGTTAACAGAGGTTAGGTGAAATTAACCTCAACTGTGGATTGCACCATACCATGGACTAGGGTCCTGGACTGAATAAAAAAGCAAGCTGCTGCCAGGCGTTGGCGGTGCACGCCTTTAATCCCAGCACTCAGGAGGCAGAGGCAGGCCAATCTCTGTGTGTTCGAGGCCAGACTGGTCTACAGAGTGAGTTCCAGGACAGGCTCCAAAGCTACACAGAGAAACCCTGTCTCAGAAAAAAAAAAAAATTGCTTCTATCAGGTATTTTGTCCCAGTGATGAGAAAAGTAACATACAAACTTTGACTCCTCCAAACCCATTATTTTTTTCCATTTATTTCTGAGACAGGACCTCTCGTAATCCAGACTGGTCCCAAACCTGGCTATGTAGTTGAGGCCGATTGACTGTGTACTCCCGATTCCAGCTTTCACCTTCCAAGTGCTAGAATTAGAGGCATGTTCTATGGAAGTTTTTCTGAAGTTATGGGTCGCAACCCCTTTGGAGTGGAATGACCCTTTCACAGCGGTCTCCTAAGATCATTGGAAAACACAGATATTTACATTACAATTCATAACAGCAAAATTAGTTCTGAAGTAGCAATGAAAATAATTTTATGGTTGGGATCATCACAACAACATGAGGAACTGTATTAAAGGGCTGCAGCATTAGGAAGTTCAAGAACCACTTCTCTTACCGTGTCTGGGTTGATGTGTTGAGGATTGAACTTGGGACTTTGAACACGCCAGCCAAGAATGCCACACTCTAGCCTTCAAACCCGATTTTTAGTTTTAGAGAGTATCTCAGGTATCCCAGGCTGGCCCTGAACTTGCTGTATAGCTGAGCATGACCTTGACTTCTGGTCCTCCTGCTGGGCACATTGTCACACACCTTTGATCAAAGCACTCAGAAAGCAAAGGCAGGCAGAGCTCTGTCAGTTCAAGGCCAGCCAGGGCTACATACACAGTCAGACCATGTCTCAAAAAATAAAAAAAAAAAAAACTTTCAAAACCTCATATCCCCTGCTTCCACTTCCCAGGTGCTGGGATTACACATAGGTACTGCCACATCTGCTTTAGACAGTGCTGGAGATCTAGGCTGAACCCAAGGCTTTGTACATGTTAAGCAAGTACTCTATTACCCGAGACACATCCCCCGTCCTCAACCTCCCAACCCCCTTTAAAGTATTTTATTACTCTATTGTGTGTGGAAGTGTTTTGCTTACATGTATATCTGTGTACCATGCTACGCCTGGTGGTTGGATCCCCAGGAACTGGAGCTATAGTTTATTGATAGCTGCTATGTGAGTATGTGTTGTGAAATATTTTTAAGGTGTGTTACTTTTATGTTCCATTTGTTTAACTCTGTGAAGCTATGTTACTGTGCCTGTGTAAAACACTTGATGGTTTAATAAAGAACTGGCCAGGCAAGGCAGGAGAAAGGATAGGCGGGGCTGGCAGGCAGAGAGTATATATAGAAGGAGAAAACTGGGAGGAGGGATCTAAAACTTAGCAGCCAGAGAAGGAGGAGGACTCCAGAGGTCAGCCACCCAGCTACACACACAGCAAGCCATGGAGTAAGAGTAAGATACAGAAGTAAGAGAATGGGAAAAGCTCAAAGGCAAAAGGTAGATGGAATAAATTAAGGAAAGCTGGCTAGAAACTAAGCCAAGCTAAGGCTGGGCATTCATAAGTAATTATAAGCCTATGTGTGATTTATTGGGGAACTGGGTGACGGGCCCCACAAAAGAGACAAAAACAACAATTTGGCGTTACAACGTGGGCCCTTATTCCATGCAGGGCTTAAGAAAGCTGAATTTAAAAAAATAAAAAATAAAAAAATAAAGGGGGGAAGGATATGGCTCCTTTAAGAGTTTCGGCCAGATGTTTCTGCTGGTCA